GGCAAATAGGGCAAGTGAGATTCTATTAAAATAGCTCCTACTGGGATCAGGAGATCCCATAATAGTTACGTCGCTGGACTCCCATGTAGTTGATGACAGTCTGAGTCCCAGACCCAGCAGTTTCAAACTCATGCCCGGCACTTGTGCATGCATGCCCCAAATCTCAGGAGGAGAATGGAGGAGAAGGGATTGCAGCATGGCCATCGCCCCTGAGGGGTGATTTCTTGCTTTCTGTCTCTCTGTCTCTCTGGCAAGCGCACGTGCCCGATATCAAAAATCTTTCTAAAAAAAAAAACAACCAAACAAACAAAAAAGCTCCTACTGATAGAAATAGTCATGTGATACAGTGACATTTCAGTCCACAAAGGACCACATGGATGACGGAGGTCCCATGAGATAGACCATCTAGCTCAGGTGTGTAGTGGCCTGTACAGTCTGCGGTTGTGTAAGTACGTTCTATGATGTTTCTGCAACAAAACTGCCTAGTATACCCCCCATCCTCCCACTTTTTTTTTTTTTTTAGGCTTTGCTATGAAGATGGAGTGCATGCTCCTGTGTGTGTGTGCATGTGTGTGTGTGTGAGAGAGAGAAAGAGAGAGAGAGAGAGAGAGAACCCTTAGGGAGATGGCCATACCATAATCTTGTCTCCATTCTGCTCTTGGGAGTTTAGGCATGTATACACATTTGCCCAGCATGTTATTCAAGCTGCTGGGTCTGGGACTTGAACTGCGTAGTTGGCCAGGTGGGACCCAGCCGCCTTCACTACCATGCCCCTGGCTGGCCCTAGTGACCCATTTTTCAGAATGTGTCTCCATTGGTGAGTGACACATGACTGCACACTTTCGGTACTTATTTGTATGTGCTGAACACTTGAAGTGAATGAAATATTTGTGTGGAAATAATTTTGTTTAGGGATTTCTTCCCCCCTCCCCCCTTTCTGGCTCAACCTTTTCCAAAGACTGGTTCTAATTTGAACTGGTTCAGTAGGATTTTAAAAACAAAAACTTGGACTTTGTTTTCAGCACAGTAAAAATAAATAAAATAAAAATAATACTTAGACTGGGTTCAGAGTTCAGCCAATTAGTCAAGTCCATTTGGTGTGTGAGTCATATTATCCAGTCTGCATTACTAACAGTGAGGAATAATTCAAACTGGTGCGTTCTCTCTCTCTCTCTCTGTTTTTTTTCCCTAGCTTAGAGTTTAATGTCTCAGGCCTTTTTGGTCCTGAGTCATCCTTGTTCTAAGCTATCTCAATTTTTTCCCTAGCTCAGAGTTTAATGTCTCAGGCCTCTTTGGTCCTGAGTCATCCTTGTTCTAAGCTATCTCAAAATGACACTCATTTGGGACACCCAATCATAAACAGGAAAAGACTGGCATAAAACCCGACCATCTCTGGGTTCTGACACTGCAGAAGGCCACCAAGCCTGGACTTTTACAAGTCCTCTCATTCAAAGACTTGAAACAGAACTGGCTCTCCCCACCTGTGGGTCTGTGTGCTAAAAAAGGGGCCCAAATCTGTCCCAAGAGCTCTGCAAACTTTCTAGGGCATAGTCAAGCCCAAGCATCTTTGGTTCCCCCAGTTTATACTTATTTTGCAGATGGTTTTTCTTTTCCCTTCCTGTGCTTAGAATCCATATTGGGTGTTCATTCAAAGTTCTTACCTTAGGAACAGAAGACATCAGTATTTCTGGCTCAGTCACAAACACAATGTGGAACATTCTCTTGGAAGCCTAAGGACAATTTCTTCGGTAGCAGGTAGTGGGGGCTCAGGGACCTTAGGGCAATAGCCTACTCTCTGACCCTGGTCCCTGGGTATGTATGCCACCATCCAGGATGGAAGTAAAATCAATGGCATAGTTGCACACTGTTCGGTTTGCTTTGATTCTTCTCATGGGTCTTTCTTATAGGACTTTCCCTCTTGCTATCTTGTTTCCTTGTGCCGTTTTCAAGGCATCAGAATTGCCCTGTCAGCACGAGCCATGAGGTGCTGAACAAATGTTGAAGATATTGTATATGTTTAGCTTGATGTAGCTACTGAGGGATCTGGATCTATGTCTATATTTATATCTATAGGACCTACCTGCACATATGTATAAATAATTATAAAGTATGTACACATGGGCTAGCACTGTGGATGACTAGTAGTGTGTGTATGCACTTACGGGTCCTACTTCTGACCACTGAGTATGCCTGAAAGCAATGGCACCTAGTAGCAACAAGCATACACAGGACACAAATCTTGGAATCTAATGTCTTTCTCTAATAAACAGAACCAGGGCTCCTTGGAGAAGTGCTTAATCGTAGGACTGGGAAAAGGAGTATGAAGACGAGCCTGGAGCATCTTCCAGTACCAGATAGTAAAGAAGTATTCAAAACTAGATGATTAGCTATGTCAACGGAACACAGCAGCCCACTGCAAGAGCTCCCAATAGACAAAGCTAGGACCATCTGAGCAATGAAATAAACAGTATAACATTGAATTATGACCCAAAGTATAAAATAAATCTTTGTAACCTACTCTAATCTTTTTTTTTTTTTTTTTTTTTTGTAGAGAGGTTTTTGCTATAGAACACATGCACTTGTTGGAGAGAAAGAGACAGAAAGCAAGAAAATCACCCTTCAGAGGGGATGGCCACACCACAGTCCCTTCTCCTCCATTCTCCTCTCAGGATCTTGGGCATGCATGCGCACATGCCTAGAGTGAGTTTTAAGCCCCTGTGTCTGAGACTCATACCACGGTCGACTACATGGGAGTCCAGTGGTGTAACCATTATGACATCTTCTGGTCCCCTGATATAAACACATTGTTGAATACATAAGTGGAGAACAGAAAACCCTGCCCAGAAGAATTGCAAATAATTTATGTCACTGATCCTCCCCTAAGGAAGTGGCATGTAACTCCCCACCCCAGAAGTGTGGGCTGCCTGCGAGACTTCCTTTTGATGAGTTCAATGCAGAGAGGGGAACAGAAGGGGCCAGCCACTTGCATGGTGGTTGAGGTGGCTCAGTCTCACATGGCTGATTGTAGGTTCGTGTCCTGGATACGATGGTTTGAAAAACATGCTAGATATGTGTATGTGCTTACCCAAAATCCCAAGGGGATGGTGGATGGAGCAGAAGGAATTGTGACATGATCATCTCTGGGGGGGGAGGGGAGTGTGTCTCTTCTTGCTCTCCTGTTCTGACTCTCTCCCTAGAGTGTTTGCACCCTTGGCAAACACCCTGTTCTCCTTTCTGGAGAGCAGAAAGGATAGCTTTGGAGTGGAGAGATGTGACAAACATTACCTGTGCTGGGTGATCAGAGTCAGTGTCAACAGTGACAAGACGTGCTGACGGCACAGCGATAGCCTGAACCCTTGGTGTGAGAGGCGAGAATGGCCCTGTAGCTTGTGACCTCCCTCCCCGAAACCCATAACCCAGTCTCACTGTGAGGAGAACACTGCACAGACTCACCTAAAGGACATTCTATAAAATACCTATCTGGTACTTTTCCAAACTGTCAAGGCCATGAAAAACAGAAAATCTGAGCAACTGTCACAGCCAAGAAGAGGCTAAAGAGACAGATGACTGAACGGGATGTGTCTTGGATGAAACCTGGAACAGAAAAATGACATTAGTTAAAAAACTAAAGAGAGATGAATAAAGTATGGGCTGTATTCAGTTATAATGTATAAATGCTGGTTTATAAATTGTGAAATTGTGACAAAGGTGTGTGACAATGTAAGTGACGAAGGAAATTGGGGTATGGTACCTAGGAACTCTCTGATACTATTGCAACTTTTCTGTAAATCTAAAATTTAGAAATAAAGTGAAAAGTTTATTTTAAAACGTCTTCCCCTTGGGTCCAGAAGAAGGCATAATAGCTACATTACTGGATTCCCACATAGTCGATGGTGGTTTGAGTCCCGGACCCAGTGGCTTAAAACTCATATAAGGCGTCTGTGCGTGTGTGCCCAAAATCCTGAGAGGAGAATGGAAGAAAGGGGATTGTGGTATGGCCATCCTCCTGGGGGGTGATTTCTCTCTTTATGTCTCTCTGGAAAGTGTACATGCCCTATAAAAATCTCTAAAAAACAAAACAAAACAAAACAAAACTTCCCCTTGATCATTTTCCCCCCTTTCTCCTCACCCTATCCCTCCCAACATGCTGGTCTGCACCCTATGTCCTTGTCATGAAAGAAATCACAGTGATGAAAGCAAGCGGTCTTGACATCGCTGTATAAACTTTGGGGTCCTCTTTGCCTGGAGAGCTGAATACCATTTCTGGGTTTCTGGCACCCTCACTTCTCAGCTTATCTGGTTTCTGAGGGATTTATCGGAGGCATTTCTGTTGGCTGTAATGTGGTTTGAGACATGGTTTGTTTGTAGTCTGGAGTTCTGTACATTAGTCTCTGACTGCCAAAGGAGCCAGACTACACGCTCTTGGGCCAGGGACATGTTGCCCTCAGGGCATGGTGAGGTCTTCTAGAATTATTAACCTCACAGAACTTTGAGGAGGATTAAGTATAAAATGACATCACTTGGCAGTGCTGGGCACAAATAATCATCCAATGGGTGATGACTATGGTCACTGGACCAGGGCGTTCAGGTATTCTTGACAGATCCCTCTTTGTCTAGCAACGCAAGACTATAAGACTAGCATCTTGGAACAGAGCTTCTTGAGGTGCAGAGCCAATCCACTAAGAGGCAGACCATTGACCTTAATCCTATTGACTCTTGGATCTGCCTAATTCTATTTGAGGATCACATGGAAGACTCAAGTGGATTAATTGTCTAGAGAAGAAACCCAATTAAACAAGTTAGCACATTGGTAAGTATTACCCCTAGTTCCATTTCACATAGGCAAGTCAACTGTTTCCTTGCTGCTAACCTAGATCGCTCTCTCTGCTGATTATTGATAAATGGAACTATTTGTATTTCCCAATTATATCTGAACTTCACAAATTACATATTTCCAGAACAAGAGCACAAACTGATCAAGTCAATCTTTGGAAAAGTAGTTGATGAAGGTATAATCCAATACTTTAATTAACATCGAGGCTCTGACATGGAACACACAGAAAGAAAATGAACAAATTGGTTAATTCTGTCTCCTCTGTACTTTAACCATTCCATCTTCACATAGGAAACACACACCTCTATGTGATGTATTTTCTTCTAAGCATTTTATTACAAATGCATAGTTTTTCATCACTTGCTGATTTAATTTGTGCTTAGGAAGTATTCAGTTACCATGCTAAAAGAAAGGGAAGAAACAGCCCAGATGCTTGCTAAGCTAGTGTTCAAGGTTAAGCATTGCAAGATTGCTGCCCTTAACTTTAACAGTTCAGCCTGGCTGCACTGCTTAAACAGCCCAGAAATTAAACCAGAGTTCCTGAGGGATGCTTTTTCATGCTGGATTTTGGTTTGCAAGGTTGACTGTGAACATGCTCTTCATACAGATGGTTTCTCCCTTTGTTCCTATTGCTCTGGCTCGGCTCAGTGCAAAAGAGCCACCAGCAGTTTCTGAAAGTCCCCAGAGGTATCTGAGCGAATCATGTCAGAGAGAGACTTCTGGTACTTCTCTTGGAACTTTGCTTTTATCCCCTGGAGGTCCACCTGTAGGGAAGACAACAGGAGCAACAGAGATGCAGTCTTTATAGTGTGTCCAGCATAAATGGCAGGCACTATTTCTCACTACAACTTGTAAACTGAATTTACCCAACATGAATACACTGCATGCCAGTCCAGTTGCTGATTTCATGTATGTTATTGATGACAGTCTTTCATTTCTGTGTTCCTTAGAAGTCTTGCCTCTCTAGTTTTCTCCTTGCACCATTCTAAGTACATTATACTCATTTATACCTTAAAAGAGTCATATTTAAAAAAAAAAACAAGATCCTGACATTTGATAGAAAGTGAATGAATATAGAAGAGTAACTGCTGAGTAAAGCAAGTCAGGCTATGAAAGAGAGACATTGTATGTCTCCACTTAATATATAATGACTGTTTGCACTCTACAGCAGAAACTAAAAGATTAGAGGATATAGAAGCTTGGAAAATTGTTATAGGTACTGGAGACAGTATGGTAAGAGGTGGGAGAAGGTAGAGGGTGTGATGAAGGAAATTAAGGAGAAAAATAGGCAAGGCATTTATGGGACACAGAAATGGATTGTTGTCTGTTGATGATAACATGTATAGTATCCTCAGCTAGACTGGTGTGAGGTGTATTTGTGTTGGGTAAATTCACTTACTAAGCCAAGCGATGTACAGTGATTGAATGTATAAAGTAAAATTTAAAAAGAAGCCCTCTGAGGCAGGGCTGCTATAATTTCCATTTGTGGATGAGAAGTGGGGAACTGAGTTTGCTACCCAAAGGTTGCAGATGTGTTTGTGTGTAGGGTCAGCTGGTGGCGCAGTGTAATGCAATGCTTTGAGATCTCGAACCTACACGGGGAGGTTCTGGGTTTGTGTTCTCAAAGCCTCCTGGTACATGGCAGTGTACGTGTGCCCTTTATCCAGGGCTGGCTGAGGCTGGGGTGGATTGTGGCACCAAGACCTTGTTGGGGTGCCTCTCTCTCCTCGCTCTGATTCTTTCTCATGAAAGAAAGATGCTAAAAAACCCCAACCTAACAAAAACACCCAAAATTTCAATTTCCTGTGAATTTTATGTGTAACACAATATTGTTTTTCTTTGGAGTTGCTTACAGTTATTTGAAAATAAATGGTTCTGAGGTAGCAAGACTGTACAAAAACCAGGCCGTGGGCCCAATGCGGTCTGCAGGCCATAATTTGCTGACCCTCAGTATAAGGTTAAGAAAATTGTCAACACGAAGATTTGAAATCGAGCACGTTTGCCCTCATCCCCTGATCAGGAAAGATATTGGGACCAGTCAACAAAATTCCAATTAATATTAATTCATAGGATTAGTTTGAATCTCATTCATTGAAATCTGGAAAAACCTAGGAGGTAGAGGTAGGAAGACGACTCAGGAGAAAAACAAATAAAAAAACCACTCTGCCTAAAAACTGTCACAGCCTAGGAAAGGAGAGAATACACAGTTCCAGAAAGAGCATAGTGAATCTCATAAAAGAAGCAAAGAGGCCCACCCTGGTGGCACATCGGTAGCAAACTGAACGGCAGTGTTGGAAGCCACGTGGCTGACTATGGCTTCAGATCCCGAGTCTGCCTGAAAACAGCTGCCAGGTGCATGTGCCCAAGATGTTAAAGCGCTGCAGTGTTCTGGGAAAGCGGATCGGTGTGTGGCAGACTCGAGAGTGCTTCCCCACCCCTGGCCCATCTCGTGTACAGCCTTTCTACCATGAATAAGATTAACTTAAAACTCTTTGCCCCTCTCTTTCTCTCTCTCCCTCTCTCTCTTTAGCATGCACTGCAGACCCACAGACTATGGCTCAGGTATCTGGTTTCTTCTTCTCCTGTCTCAATCAGAGGGCTGCACTAAGAGAGAAAGAGAGAGGATGAGAACTGAGGTTGGGGAGTGAGGAACTGTGTGAGTGGGTGTGGAGCAG